AAGGAAGGAAGGAAGGAAGGAAGGAAGGAAAAAGAAAGAAGGTAGGGGAGGGAGGGAGGGAAAGAAAGAGAGAAAGAAAGAAGTCGGGAGGAGGGAAGAAGGAAGGAAGGAGGAATATCAGAAGGAGAAGTATGGGAAGGGAAAGAAGAAGCAGGGAGGGAAGGAAGGAAAAGAAAGAAGGAGATAGGGAGGGAGGTAGAAAAGAAAGGAAAGAAACAAAGAAAGAAAGAAGGGAGGGAGGGAGGAGGGAAGAAGGAAGGAAGGAAAAAGAAAGAGAAAAAGAAAAAGAAGGAAGGAAAGAAAAGAAAGAAAAAGAAAAGGAATGTTTTGCCTTGCTTTTGAATACCATAGGTAAAAAATAATCTTAAATATTGATGCACCACGTGGCTAATACTTTATTCTCCATGCAGAATCTCTCTGAATCTTTCCCGAAGACGAGAAATAAATCCTTACCATCCTTGAGGATACAGCAGGCTCGGCTGCATTGTTTGGCAGTGGATGCAGTATAAACGTTGAGGATGTGAGCTCCCCGCTTCTGGGAATGCTCCAGATCAACGGAAAGCCCTGGGAATCGTCGGATCCAGCAGTTTTTGTAAAACGTGATGGGGGAGCAAAGGCCTTCTGACCTGCACACCCAGCCCCAAAACAGCAGGACTTCGGTCAGAGCCACTAGCAGGAACATCTCAAAAGCATCTCCTTAGCAAAGGTCTTGTTCTCCAAGGCAGAAGAAAGGCTGAATGAGAGACGCTCAGTGCTGCCTGGCAGGACAACCTGTTTGCACCTGATGGCTGTAACTTTCCACGAAATTAGGAAGCCATTTGCAAAGATACAGAATAAATCACTCCCCATCTTCGCCCAGCTGCTTGGACTTCATGAGGTAGATCTTGAGTTCGCATAATGACACCTGGTTGAATAATAAAGAATTTCCAGCTATTATTATTGGGCCAGAAACAGTATAGTTTTTTTTACTTTTTACTTTTGCCTTTATTTGTATGCCGCCCTTTTCCCTGAGGGGACTTCTCGGTATAGCAGCTGTTCTGAGCTAGGCTTCCTGAGACCATGGAGCAAACTCCTTGTCCCGACAAAAAAAAACCCTTTTATTAATTTACTGTGAATTCTGCTCATTCCCATCAAGCAAAGTCTTTTGATGGAGGATTTACAGTCACAGACCTTATCTGGCCTGGAGAGCTGCCAGGCNGCAGTCAGCTGAAGTAGCCTGCAGTGCTGCATTTAACCACTGTGTCACCTCGGCTCTTCAAGGTGGATAGAAGACAGCTAGATGTTTGTTGCTTCCTTCCAGCTTCTTTGCTATAAAGTTTTACCATACATTTTCTTTTTAAAAAATCTGGATTTTAGTTATGCACATGTGCAAATCACTATTTCCCCCTAAGTGTGCACTAATGCATACTTTGAGGGAAATGGGCAGTTCAGAAATGTAATAAACAAATAAGCAAGCCAGCAATCCTCACCTGGTGTAATATTGTAGAGGATCACACTGCTTGTAGGTTTCACTATGCAGCTTTCCAACACTGGGCAATACATGTGAATGCAGTTTGTATCATCGATATTGGTTTTGTAGTTGAAAACAGCCAAGTTACAGGAAACTAGAAAGTAGAGAGATGGGAAAATTTTAAGCCGAGTCCTGATGCTGTCTATGCTGGATGAGCTTTATCAGACTGTGGAACATATTAATTTTTTAAAAAATCCCTAAATTAGGGTGCTAAAAATTATAATTCTCCAGGCATATATCTTTCCACCACCAAATCTTGATTTTAAAAAATCATCCCCCCCAAAAAAGAGGATTAAACAGATTATCTTTCTAATCAGTTGGTGTTTTGATCCTTTTTTGTTGCCTAAAACCAGGATTATGTGTCACAATACTTCACCATATGAAAACGGGGATTGTCTTGGGCCAAATCAGTATTCCAATAATGGATGAATTCAGTCCTTCAGCTCTTGTTTCAGCCAGTGCCTTTATCCTACCAGCCCACAGCACGCATGAGAGACAGAATTGTGCAAGAGAATTCTCCTTTGTTTGAAAGTTCAGCTCTGGAGGCCATTGATCAGTGCCTGAAGAAATGCAGGGAAGGGGCTGAAAAGACCTTTAAAATATTTTTCTAGCCATCGGAGTGGTTGGCCGATTGTAAGCCACCTAGAATTCGCTGTAGGCGAGGTGTGCAACATTATAGAGGCAGTTTGGCCCAGTGGTTAAGGCACCAGGCTAGGAAGGAAAAGGCGAGGGAAAGGCTGTTAGTTTAAGTTCACCTTAGCCATGCCAGGTGAATGCCCTTAGGTCAGTGGCTCTCTCTGAGCCCCAGTCACCTCAGGAGGTTGTTACTATTGGGGGGGGGGGGGGGAGGAAGAAGTAGATGTATAGTTGCTGTCTTGAGTTATTAGGAAAAATAATAAAGGTGAGATAGAAAGAAAGAAAGA